ACAAAAATTTCCTCTGCAAAAGATTTATATTGGTGTAATTGAGGACCTTTCTCAGTTCGGGCCAACCTGTGGATGAGGAGAGTTGAGGATATTTTGCAAGGAAACTTACAAAAATGACATTAAAATTAGAAGTGTTTTGAAAAATCATATAAAAGTTTTTTTAAAATTAAAAGTTACTGTGTAAAATTAAAAAGTAACATTGTGTCACTTTTAAAAATTTAGTATCACTTTTTTATTAAAAATTTACATACATGTCACTTTTATTAGAAATTGACGTTTGTCACTAAAAAATGATTGAAATTTCAAAAAGACAATTGAAAAAAGTGACAAACACTAAAAAAAATGATAAAAAAAATAAATAAAAAAAGTGACAATTACTTAAAAAAATAAAAAAAGTGACAGAAATTTTTAAAAAGTGACAAATTAAAAAAAAAAAAGTTACACAAAGATTCAAAAAAGGACGATGTTGTAGGTACAGGGGTCTACAGGCCCTTGTCTGTCTGACACACATGCGCGGGCCTCAGCATAATTTTCTTTTTTTTTTTCATATGGAGCCATCCCTACAATGAGGAGTCGGTAAGACCCCTATAGGAAAATGTACTCCATAAAAAGTGACAGAAAATGAAAAAGAAAAAGTAACACAAACTCAAAAAAGATGACAAACACTCAAAAAGTGACGAAATTGAAAATATACAAAAATAAAATCTATATGTAGAACTAACTTGCAAATGAAGCATAACACTCTATAAGTTGAAATTGGCATAAATTCACTAGAGTGAAAAAAGGTGACAAAAAAAAAAATAAAATTGAAACACTCGAAAAGGTGACAATTTCAAAAAAACGACAAACACTAAAAAAAAAGGTGAAGAACACCAATCAAAACTCTGGCAGGAGTTTCCAGAAAGATAAACCAGGCCCAGCATTAGAAGAAGCCAATATGAGGTATAAAACATACGGAGACTACGTTGTCCAAAATTATTACTCTAATGCCAGCAATTCGTTACTTACAAGCACGACAAGTATCTGAGTTTTAATTTGTATTTAAACATGTTTGTTTCCTTGGGGATTATTCAGTTTATTTCCTATAACTTGTTAATTAAAAACAGCTTGTTTCAACCATGTTTGCAATGCCGAAGAAAGCGCTTTTGAGACTGAAAAACTTGGTTCCAAGTAATTATGAACGCTTGCACACTCCAAAAAGCTAATCTCTACATTGTAGAAACTGAAAACCGCGGTGTCTAAGATTGAAAAACGCCTTCACATAACAAGTGAAGAAGCCAAAAACTGAAACTCAAGGTCACTAAGTTAGCCAATAAATTGCCGCTAATCCTCAATGAACTTGACACTGTAGCTCTACGAGCACCAGGAAGAATTGAGGCCTCTACTTGGTACATGGTTATATGGATTACGGCTTCTTATGCTCTTATCGACTTCACAATAGGCTTGAGAAGATCATCAATAAATTTGATGGTCTTGTCAATTCAAGTTGGATGAAACAATACGTCAAACACTTGGAGTGCATATTCTGATGAACCTGTAAAAGTTACTTATCTTACATCTACAATGTAAATCCACTAGCATGTCTCCATTGTTTATAAACCTCACAAGCTTCATATATTCTCCCATCATAACAACAATGTACATCCCTTCCAATATCCAACCATACCATACTTTTCCATCACCCACAGTGAAAACATGTATTACTTCCTGCTAGATACTATACGCTGCAAGCGTCTTCCCTAGCACAGCCAAAGACAACTCTAGTTCCATTTGGAATCTCGTTGATTTCACTCTTTAAACTCCTCGTTTGGGAGTTTTGGGTGGTTTTAGAGTTCCTCTTTGAAACAGTGATTTCGAGGCTTTTTAGGTCGATTTTGGGACGTATAAATTATAGTGATTAGAGATTTTAATTTATTTTAAGTGTATTAATCTAATTGGTTTGTTTTTTTAGACTAGTCAACCCTCCAATATAAACATAGATGAGAATATAAAATTTTCCATAGGAAACTAGAGTAGTTTATTTATTTATTTATTTATTTTTGTACTTTGCTGAACGATGTATTTGAACTTAAACATAGATTAGAATATGTCCATATATGATGAGAACCATGTACAATAGCTAGCAAGGACAAGGACCCGTTCATTGTGGAGGCAAGACCAATGACTAAATCATGAGCAAATAAGATCAAGGAAACCATAGGATTTCTTGCTCAAGCTACAGCGGACGAAACATTAATCACAACAAACAAATGGACAAGTTTCATTTTGAGATCGAAAGGGGAAACAAGATAAGTCAACATAATTAAAACAAAAGAAGAAGCTGTTTAGGGTAACTAAATTAGTGTCCAAATCAATTCCTTTTCGATTTTTGGGGCTCTTTGACGAATTTTCGCACATTTAGCAAAAAAAATGGAAAATATTAGAATAAAATAGAGCAATTACGACAAAAAAAAAAAAAAAAGCAATTCCAAAGTCAAAAGTGTCCAAGAAACACTTTATCGAATTTATCCTTAGTGTTTCCGTTAAAAGTTTCATTCCTACTTTCTTGAGTCATTCCAGAGTTAACTTTCTCACTCAATTCTTTGTTTGAACTCCACAATGGTTGTTTTTTTTTTTTATTGAGATCAAATTAGTTCTTTGAAGCGCTTGTAAGGAAACATTGAGTCGGAAAAAGGCAGTGGTGAGACTAAGAGGGAAAAAGCTAAATTGGGTGATAGATGAGTGTCATTGAGTTTACTGATTATGCTATCATTTGGTGGGATCAAATAGAAATATCTAGGAGGAGGAATCATGAGGGGGCTATTGAGACGTGGAGAATTGAAAGCTATAAAGAGGAAGAAGTTTATTCATATTCATTACTATAGAGATCTCTATCAAAAATTACAAAGCTTTTATCAAAAATCTAGGAGTGTGGAGGATTATCACGAACAGATAAAAATTGTCATGATTAGAGCAAATGTTGAATAGGGTCGAGAGACCACTATAGCCTAATTTTTGAATGGTTCGAATAGGGAGAGAGCTAATGTGGTGGAATTGCAACGTTATGTGGAGTTAGGACATGTCGCATATAGCTATGAAGGTGGAGAGGCAGTTAAAGGGAAAACGGACAACTAGATATCTATCGGGTTCTTCGGGTACTAATCCTTCTTGAAAACTGAAGTGAGATAAAAATAGAGGTGATGGGCTGTTTCAAAGAGTAGAACTAAGCCACCGAAGGGAAGAGGGGAAGTTGCTCGCAAAATTATACCCAAGGTGGATTCCCAACCTTCTTGTTGCTCTAAGTCATCTACTTTAATTTGAGCACTAAAAGCTCGTTTTTAATTAATAGCTCTCCTACTTAGAAAAACAAAGGGAAAACATATTTCATACAAGATGTCATATCAAAAAGAAGATATGTAGTATGATTATTGATGGGGTAGTTGTACCAATGAGGCTAGTACTACACTTGTTGAGAAATTGGGTTAACAATACGAAAACATTCTAAGCTCTATAAATTGTAATGGTTGAATAAATGTGAAGAAGTTAGAAATGTGGTGCATGATGGGTACAAAAATAGGTACATTTTTACAAAACATGGGAAATCTTTTACTCTTGCACTATGAACATCAAAGCAAGTTTATGAAGATTAAATCAAATTAAAAAATGAAGAAGATAAAAGAATGAGAGAAAAAGAGAGTGAGATAGCAAGAGAGCAAGTGAGAAAATAGGAGAAGAGTCGAAATTGAATTTTTTTGCAAAAGAGAGTGAGTTGAAGAGAGCAGTGGTTGAGAACTGACATATAATCTTGTTGGCTCATAAAATATCACTCCTCAACTAAGAAGAATCTAACACAACCCCTCCCAAGTTTGACTACCTCTTTGTTGCAGGAATTCAAAGACTTATTTTCGGAGGACATGAAATTGACTCTATACCTAGAGCTGTCATTTTAAATAGGCTGGCTTATAGGAGTAATCCCGAGAAGACAAAAGGAACTTCAAAAGCAAGTAGAAGAATTGATGAGTAATGGGAATGTGAAATAAAGTACGAGTCCATGTGCCGTGTTAATGCTATTTATGGTTAGATCATGCATGTTTAGTAAAATAGATTTTAAAAGTAGATATCAAATCAAGATAAGTGAAAAACTATTTTTAAGACAAAGTATGATTTATATGAGTGGTTAGTCATATCATTTGGAGTTACTAATGCACTTAGCACTTTTATGAGATTAATGAATCATATCTTGCAAGCATTTATAGGTAAATTCGTAGTAGTACTTCGATGATATTTTGGTATAAAGTAAAGATTTAAATGAGTATATAGGATATTTAAGATATGTGCTTGTGATTTTAAGACAAGAACAACATCATGCTAACTTTAAAAGTACATTTTGCGTGGAAAATGTTATTTTTCTTGTTTATGTTATTGGTTCTAAAGGAATTAAAGTGGATGAGGAGAAAATCAAAGCCATCAAGGAGTGACCAATACCGAAAAGCATAACCAAGGTAAGAAACTTATATGGTTTAGCCAGCTTCTATAGGCTTTTTGTTAGAAACTTTAAAATAATTGCCACATCAGTCACGGAGATTGTAAAGGAAAGTACATGATTTCATTGGGGCGTTGAATAAGAACATGCTTTTAACACTATTAAACGATAAGTTGTGTACCGCACCAATTTTATCACTACCTAACTTGAACAACACTTTTGAGATTGATTGTGATGCCTCAAGAATATGTATTTAAGTTGGTTTGATGCAGGAATGGAGGCTAATAGCTTACCTTAGTGAAAAGCTAAGTAGAGCAGCTCTCAACTATTCTATATATGACGAGGAGTTGTATGCACTTATTCGAGCTTTGGAGCATGGCAGCTCTACCTATGGCCAAAAGAGTTCGTGATCCACACCGACCATGAGTCATTGAAGCATCTGAAGGGTCAAAATAAACTAAAGAAGAGGCATGAAAGGTGGGTGGAGTTCATCAAGACATTTCTATAAGTTATTCATTAGAAAAAAGGTAAAGAAAACATGGTAACAGATACATTGTTAAGGAGGTACATACTTCTTACTTCTTTAGATGAATATGTTAAGGACATGTATGCTAATGACCCAAACTTTTCTAATATATATGAATCATGTAACCCTGAAGAGTAGCTCAGTGGTCAAACTTTGGGTTTGTTCCCCAGTGGTTACCAATTCGAGTCTCCTCAAGGCCACTGAGGTGAGTACCCGACTGTAAACTCCAGGCCCTGTAGGATTGCTCGAGGTGCGCATAAGCTGGTCCGGACACCCACGGTCATAAAAAAAAAAATATGAATCATGTAACAAATGTGCTGTAGATAGATTCTTTAAACATGATGGATATTTATTTTAGGAGAATAAATTATGTGTACCTAGGTGTTCAATGAGAGAATTACTAGTAAGAGAAGCACATAATGGAAGTTTAATGGGTCACTTTAGGATTAAAAAAAATCTTGGAGATGTTAAATGAACACTTTTATTGGCCTAAGATGAAAGTTGATGTTGGTCGAGTTTGTAGTATATGCATCACTTGTAAAAATGCCAAGTCTAAGGCTTTATTACAAGGTTTGTATTCACCATTTCCCGTTCCTAGTGAGTATTGGGTTCATGTGTCTATTAATTTTGTCTTGAGTTTACCTAGAACTAAGAAATGAAGAGATTCCATATTGGTGATGGTAGATAGATTTAGTAAGATGACATATTTCATTCCATGTCATAAAAATAATGATTTCAATTGGGTTCCATATTGGTTCGCATCAATATCATGCCAAGGTTTCGCATCAATATCATGCCAAGTATTTTGAACCTAAGAATTGCTGCTTCTTTTTTATCTAATAAAAATACAAAATTATGACTACAATAGTAGTAATACATTTGCTATAATGAGAAGACATAATCACTTTAGTTCGTTCAGTGCCAGCCTTGTTAAATGTTTTACAACTTTTCTTGACAAAATTTTGAAGCTGGCTGATAGATGTGCAAATGTTGCTTGATTCCTTGCAGTTACTAGCACAAAATATTAGCAGAGAATCAATGTTGTACTGTACTTTCTTGCAATTACTAGCACCAAATATCTAGTTAGTTGGATGCTATACAGCTGTACATGATAATGCCTAGGATTACAATATAATACTACCCTCGCATTCTCTACTACGAAGAGTAATAGAACATAGTAGGGCCAGTTCATCTTATCCATATGAAATCAAGCTCACAATTAACAATATCGAAAGCTAGATCTTCATTAATGTTACCAACAATCGACAGAATATAGTTTAAGAGCATTTCAAGTAAATCATTCAAGATGGGTTAATTACTTCACAAAAAAACAAAAATAACAATTTTTTCACGTATGGAAAAGATTTCAGAAATTGCTGCTAGTAAAATATTCAAGATCGGCCAAGTGTCAGACAAATGGAAGTTACAAGAGGTTTCAAAAGCTTACTTTCCAGTTGAAGGATAAATTCAACTGCACCATACTCAACTATTATATAACTTTATCAGCAGGTGAAGGGACCTTGATTGTAACTGAAGTTGAGTTTGTTGACTGTTCTGTTAATGCAGCAGTATTTATTGACTGTTCAGCTTCAACTAGGTTGCGGAGTCTCTCTTGAAGACCTCGTACTCTGTCCTCAGTTCTGCAGAGCTTTCTCCACCTGTAAGTCAACCAGAGGCCAAACCCTTAACCCTCCATAGACAAGGATATAGGAACCCCACACGTAGGGTTAGGTTTCAGCATGCTGTTTAATTTTCTGACAATGCTTTTCTCTTTTCTTTCCCCACCCAACAACAGTAGTCCTAGTTTCTTGCTGGCTCTCAGCCTATTGAAGAACGTCTTCGCCTTTTGTCTGGGCCGCAATTTCTTACCCCATCTCTCACGGATGAAAAATAGTATACATAATACAAATTTATCTTGGTGCTTCACCAAACATCAAAATAAAAAATTGAACTGACCAGCAGTTACTAATTTCCTTTTTCTTCTTTAGGATAATAACCAGGTATTATTTGCATTGGCCCAAGTAAATAGTGTTATTGCTTATAAGCACTCAATGTACTGCATATATGGCATACGGCAGTTTCATAGAACCAAATTTCATCTCTGCAGACGTACAATTTGACTGCTCCAAATAATCTTAAAATTTTGTAAAGAAATTTGTGAAAAAAAAACTGTTCTCGATGTTGACCTCCAAAAATGGCTCCTCCACGTGGCCAACTTATAGCTACTCCACGTATTCCTCCCTGCGAAATGAACAAATGGTCAGGCGCACACGGTCGGAACCGACGGGGGTGGTGGCGGCCGTATACACTCCGACGGTCAAGTTAGGTTTGGATGGTCGGAACAGTGCCCAGGGGCTACACAAACCAATCAATAAAGGGGGAGGAGAATATATAAACTTGTTATGGAATGCTATGTATTGAGAGTTTCATTACCTTTGCCTCTTACCAAACTTTGGGTATTTATAGGTGGTATGAACCGTGGGATGTGGAACACGTGTATACATCTGACGGTATGAAGCGTCTGCTCATAGGCGTCAATCAGCCGCGCTTGTAGAGTGGGCGGGCAGTTTGTTTTCCCCGAGTTGAATTGACATAAAGTTGATAAGTCACATCAAATAGCCTCATGGGGACGTCAAATCAATTTAAACCTTAGATGCAGGACAAATCTTAAATTGGCGGTGGATCTTCTAACCGGAGTCCACTTGATCCTGACCTCGGAGGTGGGATGCTTCGGCAGATCAGTAGTAGGAATCGATATATCACTTCGGAGAAGCTTCGGGAGGGTCGGAGTGGTATACTTGATCTTGGCTTCGGTGGTGAGACGACACTTCGGTATCTAGGAGGTGGGATGCTTCGGCAGATGGTCTGCTTGGTGGTGAGATGACACTTCGGTATCAAGGCTCGAATAATCGAGGCATAACAGTGGTCCCCCAAATTCGGGAATGAATATTTATATTATACGTGGATTTGTTTTCCTGACCGGGCCGCGGCGTGGGGGTAGCTGAAACTTTGTAAAGCATGGGAGGAAACGCAGCGGCCGAGACGATGAGCCAATGGGGCGTTCGGGTCAGGTGCGTCCAAACTTTGTAAAGTTTGAGGGACTCATCTCGGATCGATGCGTTGACAAGAAAAGGTCGACGCGTGGGGAGATTGCCGAAACTTTGTAAAGCATGGAAGGAAACGCAGCGACCGAGGCGATGAACCAATGAGGCGTTCGCGTCAGGTGCGTCCAAGCTTTGTAAAGTTGGAGGAGCTCATCTCGCACCGACGCGTTGACAGGAAAAGGTCGACGCGTGGGGAGATGGCCGAAACTTTGTAAAGCATGGGAGGAAACGCAGCGACCGAGGCGATGAGCCAATGGGGCATTCGCGTCAGGTGCGTCCAAGCTTTGTAAAGTTGGAGGAGGAGCTCATCCGAAGCGACCCAAACATCCAATGTTTTGACAACTGTTGCGTGTTTCCAAGGTGATAGTTGGGTACCATGCCCATTCTCCTAAAACGCTGCTGCGGCTAATAATTATTATTGACGGCTGTTTGTAACCGAGGTGACGCGTTTCAATTTAGCGTGAAAGTCACAGCGACATCTTGGGCGTAGATCAAATCTGGCGTTTCATTTCAACGGTCCGGATTGAAGATGCGATGAACGGTTTAGATTGATCGTATTTGAATTCAACGGTGGAGATTGGACTTGTCTTTCCTATAAAAGGCGAACTTTGGGGTTTTATCAGAGTTTCTATCTTTGCCAGACGAAAACCATATTTTGCTCTCAAATTTTCGGCGATTTTCGGCGTTTTGCAAGCAACTCCGGCGAGAGAGAACGATACTTCCGGCGATCCTGTACCATTTCCGGCTAGGAAAAACTTCCAAACCCGTAAGTTTCAGCACCCATTTGGACTGTAAAAAATTTCTTAACGAATGGCCTCGGAAGGGAGTTATGGTTTGGGGAGGGGCTTGTATTGAGTGGGCTTGGAAATATGGCCTCAGCTTTCTCGAGGCTGTGATAAGTGCGAGTGCCAGTTTTTTCATGTCGGAGTAGCGTGTTTCAGCTGGGAGAAGTGCTTTCCTGATGTAATATACCGGCAATTGACGCTCATTTTCTTACCTGGTTAGGACCGCGCTGACTGCCACGTCTGAAACTGCTAGGTACAGCAACAAAGATTCATCCGGATGGGGTTTCGACAGGAGGGGTGCTTCACCGAGGTGTTTCTTTAGAGACTCGAAGGCTTCTTGGCACTTCGAAGTCCATTGGAATTTCTTTCCTTGCTTCAATACATTGAAGAAAGGCAAACTTTTATCAGTGGCTCTGGAGATGAAGCGGCTGAGTGCGGCTATCCGGCCATTGAGACTTTGGACCTCCTTCGGTTTCTGAGGTGACCTCATTTCTAGTAAAGCCGCTACCTTTGCCGGATTTGCCTCAATTCCTCTCTGATTTACAATGTATCCCAAGAACTGGCCTGATGCCACTACGAAAGTGCACTTGAGGGGGTTCAGCTTCATGTTATACCTTCTGAGTATCTGGAAGTTTGGTCAATGTGGCTCACGTGTTCGGCCGCCTGGAGGCTTTTGACCAACATATCGTCCACGTAGATCTCCATGGTTTTGCCAATGAGTTCGGCAAGCATCATATTGACTAACCTCTGATATGTGGCCCCGGCATTTTTCAATCCGAAGGGCATAACTTTGTAGCAATACAGCCCCCTGTCCGTAATGAATGATGTAGCTTCCTCATCAGGCCGGAACATGGGTATCTGGTTGTACCTTGAGTACGCATCCATGAAACTCAGTAGTTCATGCCCAGCAGTGGAGTCCACTAGTTGATCAATTCTTGGAAGTGGGAAGCTGCCCTTGGGACATGCCTTATTCAGGTTTGTGAAGTCCACACAAACCCTCCATTTCCCGCTGGACTTTTTCACCAGAACCGGGTTGGATATCCACCTCGGATGTATGGCCTCTCTGATGAAACCACTGCGATTAAGTTTACTTACTTCGTCTTTCAACACCTCGTACCGTTCCGGGTTCAGGGCGTGCCTCTTCTGTCTATGGGGGGCATAGGAGGGGTTGATGTTAAGGTGATGGCAACTGATCCTGGGATCTATTCCCACCATATCCTCATGTTTCCATGCGAAGACATCCAGGTTTTCTTTCAGGAATCGTATCATCTCAATTTTTGCTTCAAGCGATAATGACTTCCCTATGCGCAAGGCTTGATTGGGTCTTCTGGATTGACTGGGAAAGTTTCCAGTTCTTCCATTGGGGTCGCATTTGGTTCATAATCGATTATTCGGGGGTCTAACTCATCAAGAGGGTGTCCTTGTTCAGGGGCCTCTTCCATTATGACATCTTCCTCTTGTTCAGAGGTATGCCCTTGTTCAGGGGCGTCGAGCATTTTCACATCCATACCGGCTTCAGCGGGTACTTCGGCTAGAATTACATTGACAGTTCGGGGGCTCAGATTTACGTAGCGAGTTTAGGTAGCATGCCCTGGAGCCCATCTGATCGCCCCGGACCGTTGCAATCCCATGTTCAGTTGGGAATTTCATGCACAGATAGTGAATGGACGTCACAGCCCAAAGATCTTTTAGAGCAGGTCTGCCCAATACTCCATGATAAGCCGACCTATGATCTACCACCAGAAATTCCATGAAATGCTGGGCGACCAG